TACCTAGCAACACCAGCGGAGCCCAGCCCGTTCCCTAGCAACACCAGCGGAGCCAGCGGAGCCCAGCCCGTTACCTAGCAACACCAGCGGAGCCCAGCCCGTTACCTAGCAACACCAGCGGAGCCAGCGGAGCCCAGCCCGTTACCTAGCAACACCAGCGGAGCCCAGCCCGTTACTTAGCAACACCAGCAGAGCCCAGCACGTTACCTAGCAACACAGTTCTAGTTCCACTGGCAGATTATTTCACTTATAACAAGACATTTTCCCAGTGTCATAAGTCACATAATTTGCCAGTGGAACTAGTATTTTTCATCAATATTAAAGAATTATTTACTTAAAATAAGTTCCAAAATCTTGCTGAAAAGTTACAAGTAAGTTAGTCTTGTTTTATTTCAAGTGAATTAAAATATTTGCACTAGAAACTAGACAGAAATACTTCGTATCACCTTGTACTGAAACATGGTGATATGTTCTTCTTATCCTGATTTTGCAACATGAAGACCCAAAATCAAGGCAATGCTGAAATAAAGCCTGCTAAAATCACATGAGAATCTGTCACAAAGACACTAAAATCCAGTTAAGAGATGGCTCTCTAGAACTAAAAGAGCTTTATCTGTTTCGGAAGGACGTGGTTGTCTGGTTGAGACTTTCTGCTCTAATTGGTGGTTCAGCTGTTGAGACTAAACATGAATGCATGAAACACTTTATTTGCAAAAAAAAAAAAAAACCCTCGAAACTAAGCATCATTTTCCTTTCTCTTCACGTTGTTTTGTGTTAGTTTATGACATAAAAATAATGTGGGTTGAATCTTTGAGCTGAAGCTTGTGTATTAGCTCGGTTAATCACGTTGACGTTAGACGTTTTAACTCTTTATAGGGATTCACCTGACATGCTCCTTTGTTCTCTTGCCCGGCGCACATCATTTTGCCCGTGATGGTTGCGTCTGTCGCTGTGTAGCTACAGGCGCACTCGTTGTTTCCAATGACAGGAACCTCAACTTCCTGTAGATTAGAGGTCGATGGCAAAGACACTGAGGATCACAATGTGACAATTAGCATTAGATGAGCCAATTAAAAAAATAACATTCAATTTGACAAACAAAACTCCACACAGAATCTTCACCATTGCTCAACAGTCTTCCCCAGCCAGTGATCCAGCATGAAGTGGCGTTGAAGAACTGGCTGAGGTTGCTGGCGAGGCAGATGGGTCGGATGAAGTTGGTGAAAGAGACCGAGCTGCTGAGTTTCATCAAGGCGAGGTCGTTGTTGAAGAGCGAGTTGTTGTAGTTTGGATGGACGATGATCTGGCTCAACTGGCGTGAAACCTCGTTATTATTGGGGCCAGCCTGGGTCTGTCTTCCAAAGTAGAGGGTCCACTCACTCACTGTGGTCCTGCGTTTAGAGGGATTAAACAAGAAGAAAACAAATGGTCTCGTAATTAGGCATGTGTCTAATTTATTTTATGTTTTTCTTTTATTTTTTACTGTTTTCTGTCCCAAAAAAAAACAAAAAAACAAATCTCACATATCACTTTCTGCAAGCCTCAAATACCATTTCTTGCCATTTAAGGTGGCAAGCATATTTACAGGTGACCTATTGTGTTTCCTTGAACAGTTTAGGATAGGTCTGTAATCTACACAAAACATGTTTGTTACATTTATTTGCACAAAGCCATTCTTAGATAATGAGATTTTACGTTGCTCTGCCTATTGGGGGCTCTTTTCAGAATGAGCCTTTAGGTCCTCTTGTCTTTTTAAATCATATAAGTTGCTGCTGGCCACCCGCCCCCAACTCAGCACTTACACTTACACACGAAAATGGCAGAAAACAGGTGCACAAATATACAGCCATACAGGTATGAAAAGCAGAAGTGGAGCCTCCAGTACAGTCAACAAGAATGTAACAATTGGTTTCGGGATTGTAAATCAACAACAAAACATTTTGTCTTTTCCTGCAGCCATTGTACAGCGCAATCCTGGAGCTCAGATTTAGTTGCTAGGTAACAGTGCAGTCCCCATTGACTCAGCATTTGGGAGGTTTTTGAAACGGCTCATTTTCCAGACACCAAAAAACATTAACTTATTGCGAAAACACTGTGTTTTTAGAAGCAGTAAAAACCCAAATGAAAGTATAAAAATATGCTAAATGTGAATTATGCGTAATAGATCCCTTTTTACGTCAAACTTGAACCTCTGAACATGAAGTTTGAAAAAACAAGTTCTAGTTTGTCGTTTTCTGTAGAGAGCAGGTTAGTAAGCTGCAGGTGGTGAAATGAGTCGGTAGCTGCACAATGTTTGAACTTGATTGAGTAACTGCACCTTTGTTGACCAACATAGCTACATATGTTACACAACCATGGCAGAGGATGCAAAAAATAAAACAAAAGATGATAACACTTTCTTATCAGTTTTTCATGAGTTGTTCTGCTTCTATTCTAGAGTTAAGACGCACATTTAACCAAAGATATTTCCATCTCTGGGACAAAGAATACATCACCTCCCCAAAACGACAGTGTTTGGTCAACTGCTATTTTGTACCTGTATTTAACTGTGTTTATCTCATTTCTTTTGAATTTTCCACAATGTCACATAAGGAAGCAGCATGTTTGGCGTTTTCCCTTTAAATCAAAGTTGTGTTTCCAATTAACTCAGATGTAATCAATTATTGTCATCGTGATTTAATCTGTCGCAAATTACTTGGCAACATCCACAAACAATTTGTGTACGTTGCCTTAAAACGGTAGACTTGTTCTGTTTTTGCTTCTTTTTTTACAGTTAAATAATTTAATTTATTCAGGGAAACAAAATTTGCAGATGCCTGATGATGCACATTCAGCACATACCAATAGATATACTGGGAATATTTAGCAGTCGCTTTGAGAACAATATTGGGTTGTGATTTTACAATATTTAGCTTCATTTGAAACAATGGGATGATAAAAAAAATACCTTTTTGTATTTACTCAGGTCAGCATGAAAGCAGGAAATGTTTAATCAGCAGCTGCACAAGATTGGTGACTGGAACTGATTTGAATTATATTCTGCATTTTATTGTCACAGTTTTAAAGGTGAAGTCATTGTTTACTGAGAGGAAAATCCTTCTCTGTACTGATTCTTTATTTTCCATGGAAGTAAAACCTTAATCTGTTACACAGTTTCAAAACTAATATGATGCTTTTATGGTGGTAATATAGCGTGTCCTTCTGAGAAGAGGCGGCTTACTAATAATTGTTCCTGTATTTAAGCCATCAACAGTTTCATGATGAATCATAATGTTTCACTTCCTCCTTTACAAGTGAATCGAATAAAATCAAATAAAATAAAGAAGCTCTGGTTAGTGGATTTCCAGCAGAGTGGGACATGGTGAAAAACCTGTGGTAAACTGAGGGAATCAGTGGGAGTTTCAAGTTTTTTTGTTGTCGTTTGTTTTACACATCACCACCCCTTCCTACACTTCCTCCATGTGTTTGATTGCCTTAAAAAGGTCAAAACGATGAGAAACTGGATCCTTAAAAAACCCACCACAGAATAAAAACCACAATCCCCTTTTATCCATCGCAAAAACAAAATTCATTGTAAAAACTCTAACCGAAGTTTTATTCAGTCATTGCAGGTTTTCTGTCCTTAAGTTGGTCAGTTTGTGACTTTCTGCACTGGTGACCAGTCAGAATGAGAAACACTTGTGGGAAACTCGACGTGTTCCTTATTTGGCCCGGCGCCACGTTTCAGCCGACGATGCACAGCCTTCAGCTGTGCATCGTCAGCCTTCAGTGGGCTGACGATGGGCTGACAATGCACAGCTGAAGGCTGTGCATCGTCAGCCTTCAGTGGTGGAAGACGAGAGACTTCCACCACTGAGGAAGTCTCTCGTCTGCTGGATGGAAGATATTTGTCTAGTTGCTTCGCTTAAATGTCACCTCAGTGTTTTTAAAGGCAGATGTTACTGGTATCCAGAGACGTTTACCTCCTCTGAAGTTAGTATTGCTGACCAGTATTCATGTTGTCATGTTGAATTTTCCAAAGAGTTTCTGCTGAACAAACTGTGGTTTTCCACGTAAACACAAAATCTTACCAAGTACTTTTGGTCTAGTTTCTGTTGCAATTATCTTAGCATACTTGAAATAAGACAAGACTACCTTAAAAGTAACTTTGTAGCAAGAGGCACTTGATTTAAGTAAATAATTTCTTAGTATTGATGGAAAAGTACTTGTTTCATTGGCAGATTATTTCTCTTTTTTACATTATTATAAGTTAATTTATCTGCCTTTTTATCAATACTAAAGAATTATTTACTTAAAACAAGTATATCTTGCTATAAAGTTACTTTTAAGGTAGTTTTGTCTTATTTCAACTGTGCTAAGATAATTGCACTAAAAACTAAACCAATATTACTTGGTAAGATTTTGTATTTTGCTATTGCACAATAGTCAGTCATTTTTTTGCAGTGACAGTTTAATGTGACTCAAGTCTTTGAAATATAAATGAAAAATTTACTTATTTCAGTAATTACACATTCTTTAAAGACAGTGTGTATTTAAAGTTTATTCCTGATAATTATACCTTAAAAGTAATAAAAGTCCAAAGTTCAGGTTCCCAGAAAACTGTAAATATTAACTACTAATGAATCAGAAAAGGTGTTTTGAAACACTAAAAAAAGTTTGTCTATGTATTTTTGCATTTATCTGCATTCAGTATTCGATCTGCATTAGTTTTGTGTTGCAGGAAGGGGTTCAGCTCAAAGTACACATACACCTGGAATATTCAGATTTAAAATACTTTTTGTTGAACTAATGACTTTGTCAGGAAGTCGTCATATCCTGACCGTCTGGATCCTTCCGACTCCCGTTTCTTTGCTTTTCGTTTTGTTTTTTCTGGTGCGCTACCTATTCTCTCCAGTTGGGGGAGCTGCAGTCACCAAAGCTGGATCAGAAACGTTTGTAATTTTTCCACTAGTGTTTTGATGATTTTATCTTTGCTAGTAAACTCCTAACTCTTTAAAGCTAGAGGGCCTCTTTACCATCACCCTAATCTTTAGTTTCCTTCATAGAGTCTCTGTCAGATCCTGACTGGGATTATTAAACTGGCTTCCCATCAATTTATAATCTACATTAATGCTTATTTACACCAACATGTCCATGTGAAAAGTAACATTTATTGCTATAATGTGGTACCAAGCATCTCTCCTTTTAAGCAGTTATTCTAATGTTTTACATTGTGTCTGTGTGAAATAAATGAACTGTAATGTAGTTATTTGATGAAAGCTCTATATGTAACTTTAAAAGAAACTGTTGAAACTGTCACTATGTTGTGACTGTACGATATGAGAGAGATAATCTGCCTTCTTCAAGCGCTAACTAAAAACAACCAATCAGAGCCAGGAGGCGGGACTTAGTGCTGTCAGTCACTACACAACAGTGATTGTTGTGGCAGATTCTTCCCGATAGCAGAATCTGCCAGGAATGCTAATGATAATTAACAGAGCCACAGATGATAGATAAACAGTTTTCCTGGAATGGTGAGCTGTTTCTTAGCCATTAGCACATTTAGTAGAGCGTACACAAAGCTGATTGACAGCCTCTGCCTCTGATTGGCTGATTTTCAAGCAGTGGATTTCTTCAGATGGAAATAGGAGATCAGGGAAGAGATGGAGGAAGTTTTTTCACAGATTATCTGTCTCATAATTACTGTCACAACACACATTTAACAAAAATGTAAAAAAAAAAAAAAAAAAAGATTATTTTATAAAAGTTATATACTTTATGGTTTTTTAGGTGTGTTAAAGCAGAGACACTTGAAGGCTAAAGTTTGTCAACTGACTTCTTCTTTATGCTCTTCTGTTTTTGTTTGTTTTCTTCTCCTTTAGCTTCAAACTTTAAGTCTGAATGATTATTATTTGATTATTTTCAGGTGCTTCTGGTCTTTTTTGATAAAAAGCATTTCTCCTTTTCTCATAAATGTTCCCACAGTGGACGACATGTTGAGTGGGTCTTACGTCAAGATGCAGTGGGCCGCAGTGAGAACCCACTGGCTGTTGATGAGCGTCCCTCCACAGACGTGGCTCGACCTCCGGTGGATGCTGACCTGCCACGGCCACGACCCGGCAGTCGCGCCATCACCGCCCACAATCTTCGTGTTTAGAGGTGCGACTCCGCAGTCTGACAAAGCAAACGGATCAGAATTATATATCCAGGAGTTTAGTGATAATAATAATTACTAGAGTAATTTTCATTATTTACAACTTTAGAAAGTTGTAAAAAGAGGCATTGCACTCACCCTGAGCTTTCAGCCCTGCAGGAAAAGAAAATGAAAATTAATGACAGCTTGGTGATCGCAGTGTGTCAACATGACCACACGAGGGCGCTGCAGTTGGCGCTTTCTTTGAGAACAGTGAACTTTGTACTGAACTTCGTCATGTTTTATTTTTAGAACCCAATTCGCTGTAATAAACATTTTATTGTTCCCTACCTGTACTACCATGAATTTAACAGATAAAATTAAGCTTCAATTTCCTTGGTCAGTTTATTTATAATCCTCATATGTGTTAAAACACAACAAAAACCTGACAAATGTTTACACACCGTGAAAACATAAAGACAAAACTAACATACAAGTATTTTTTCATAACATATGGAGAAAATGTCTTGTTATAAATGAAACAATCTGCCAATGGAACTAGAACTTTATCCTCAATATTAATGAATTATTTACGTAAAACAAGCTCCTGTTTCTTGCTGAAATGTTACTTGTAAGTTAGTTTTGTCTTACTTCATGTGTTCTATGATATTTACACTAAAACTAGACAGAAATACTTGGTAATTTTGTGATTTTACTGTGCATTTTTATATAAAATGTCATAATTTCAAATTTTACAGGTACAATTGAACAGGAAAAACAATTTTTTGAATTCTTTTAAACACAAAAATTCACCTCTTGAGAATTTAAATGGATTTCACTACAAAGAAACACTAAAAATCATCTTAAACAGTTTATATTCACCTGTTTGCCACATAACACACACACAAACAGGGTAAATATAATTAATATAATTAGTAATTAATCCCACCTCGGCCAGAGAGGACCGTACACATCAACAGCACCCACAGAGTCGAAGCCGCCGCCATGTTGTTTGCAACCAATCTTCCTGTTTTCTGTCTGCACAAACTGTTGAGAAAGCTTTTATCCAGCTTCTTGTCTTTGTTGCTTATATGTACGTTAAGGAAACAAGGAAAACACTTCCTGCCCAAACCTGTTTCTCTTCATGCCAGTACGCTCCCTCCTGTTGCCTTTGCATGGTTCCAAAGCCTGAAAAATAGTTTACAGTTAATTATAGAGTCGTCAAGAAATGTCTGACGTCGTGTGCTTTCTATTCATCTCTTATCCAAGCAGCCCAACCTGTTCTTTTCTAGCATCTCTGGTAAATGTGTGTGTGTGTGTGTGTGTATCATAGTTGTAATCTGACCCCAGATACACCTCTGTTAGATAAAAAGGCTTTTGGTTTCTGGAAAACAACACACACCATTTCTAGACATTCACACAGTGCAGGTGATGCTATGAAGGACGTCAAAATGGCAGCTGATGACACTGCAAAAATACTAAATCTTACCAATTAATTTAGGTTTAGTTTCTAGTGGAATATCTTAGTACTTAAAGTGAGACTAAACTAACTTACAGGTATCTTTTCACCAATTTCTGAAATTAAACTGAAGATTTTGGAATGTTTAATAGCAACTTTTCAAACTCCAAAATTTCCAAATTTCCTCTACAAATTTTTGAGATTAATCTTAAAATTTCTGATTTTTTCTTGCAAATTTTAAACTTTTCAAACTCAGAAATTTCCCAGTTCTTTCTATGCCATTTCTGAGACTATTCTCAAAATTTTGGAAGGTGTTATAGCAAATATTTGACTTTTAAAACTCAGAAAATTTCAAGTTTTTCAAGAAAATGTCTGAGATTAATCTAAATTTTTTTATTATTTTCTAGAAAATTTAAAACTTTTTAAATTCAGAAATTTTCAAATTTCTTCTAGAATATTTTTGAGAATAATCTCACAATTTCTGAGTTTTTCTTGCAAATTTTAAACTTTTCAAACTGAAAAATCCAAGTTTTTCAAGAACAATTTTGAGATTAACATTTCTAATTCATTTTTAACTAACTTTCTATTTTTCAAACTCAGAAATTTTCAAAACATCTTCTAGAAAATTTCTCAAATTCTAAATTTTTATATATTTTTCTAGCAAATTAAACATTTTCAAACTCAGAAATTTCTAAGTTTTTTCAAGAAAATGTTGAGATTAATCTCAAAATGTTATATTCTGCTTTCTTCTAAATTTTTAGCTTTTGGAGCTCAAATATTTTCTTGTTTTTTTTTTGAAAATATCTGAAATTAATCTAAAAGTTTCTGAGTTTTTTGGGGTCATTTACTTCCTTTATTTTCTGTCTAAAGTGGCCCTAACGATCCGTCATAGAAAGGTTTACCTAATAGGATGCTTGTTTTTTTGTTAGATTCCTCTTTCTATCTTCTTCAGGAATGAGTAAAAGTGGAGCAGGAGATTGATCGGCGGATTTGTTCAGAGTCTCAATTTTTCTGATCGATCTTCATTAAACCATCATCTTCGGTCCGAACTCTGACCAAATTTGTGGATCTAAGCGACTGAAATGAGAAATGGGAGGATGTTTGGATGGATTCTTCTACCCTGATGTCAAATCTCTTCAAAATAGTTTTTATTTAAAAACAAAAGCAACGTTAAACTGAAATCAAGCTGACGTCGTTTGTCCAAAGTTGCACCATCACCATGACCATGACATTTGTTATTTATTTCTCTGTCTGCCAAAACGTTTAATGAGTCTGCATGGAAAATAAATGTCCTGTTTTAGCCTAAAGAAGGATTTTGTTGATGTTCAGACCAAACCAGAGACGAAACATAAAGTCATCAGGTGAAAGGTGAAAGTTCTCCTTCCTGTTATTCGTCTTTTTAAATGTTCACACTAAAACCAATCGGTGTCAAAGGAGAAAAGAGAAAATCTTCCGTTAAATAAGAGTAAGTGTTCAAACACAGTATGCAAACAAGTCAAATGAACAAACATTAGTCACTTTCTAAAGCATTTCAAGCCTTGTGTTTGTTTCACACATACTTCAGCTCTGTGACGTAGGTACGCTGTGTTATTCTAGGAAAAAGTATTTGACTGTTAAACATATTCAAATATAGAATAAATATAACCTGAGTAAATAAAAAAAGTATTGTATCAAATTATGATTTTAAGGAAGCTGCTCAAACCAGCCTGGCCTTCTTAAATTATCCACATTTTCCAGAAATCTGAGTTGGATTTCAAACACAAACCAAATTCCTGCCGGATCCGTTAAAACCTTTCAGAACCAGTCTGCACTGCAAAAACACAAAATGTTACCAGCTAACTTCATCTGGTTTCTAGTGCAGAGATCTTAGTACACTTCAAACTGGACAAAACTAATTTACATGTTACTTTTAGAAAGACACAGAGGAGCTTGTTTTCAGCTGATTATTCCTTAATATTGATGAAAGTATTAGTTCAACTGGCAGATTATTTCACCTATAACTTGGGAAAAATGTCTTGCTATGAGTCATAAATTTTAAGATTGATCTCTGAAATTTTCTAGAAAAAAAACAAAAACAAGGAGAAAACTGAAATTTTGAGTTCCAGAAGTAAAAGCTCAGATTTTGAGATTAATCTCAAACGTATTTTAAGGAAATAACCTGGATATTTCAGATTTTCAAAAATTCCCAAGTTTTTTCTAGAAAATATGTGAGCTTAACCTAAAAAAATTTTCTTGCCAATTTTCAACTGTTGGGGCTCAAAATAAATGAAAATGTATTCCTCCTTTTTTCCGTTTTCTATCTACGATGGCCCTAATAGTTTCAATATCCAAAGTGAAGCAAGATAAACATCCAATTAAGTGAAAACTTAGACTTTCCTCCAGCCGTTAACCCTGTGAGGAGCTCATCACGGCCGGGACTAAACTCTGTGAAGGAGAACAGAACCTCCTTTTCTCTCCTAAATGTAACTTTTTGCTCTCTCAGAAAAGCGCTGTAGTGTCGGCTGAGTGTTTGCCCACACCAGCTCAGTGGGGATTACTCTCCGTTTGTTCACGGCAACACTGCACCAATGTCAAGCAGCCCCCCAGAAAACCTTGGACTCCGGCCCGTGTGAATTTTAAGTGACCCGTTTCCTCCACTTGTGCTTCCCCGCACATCTTTCCCCTCTTTCCTCCTTTATTTGGAGGAACGTCCACATATCAAAGAGCCTCCTTTCACTCTCTGTGAGGCCCAGGAACAATATTTCTTGTTCCTTCGGGACAATCCCGCCCACTGTCACCTCGGATCTCTATATAAGCATGAGCCTGCAGAACGGACCTGTTGATAAGAACCTGCAGTGAAGACAAGCCCGACCATGCGGTGTAAAGTCCTCGTCTTCGCTGTGCTCCTGGCTCTCATAAAGCCTGGTGAGTATTGTGTGTTATTGCACTCACAGGCCTGCATGGATAATCCGGGGCATAATCTGCGGGTTCCAGCTCAAACTGGACATTTGTAAGAGTTTTACTTCCTGTTTTAACTCTCAGAGGGAATTTATGCTTTGTAATATTGTGATCATGCAATATTAAAGTGGTGTACATTCATGCATAATGATGATAAAGTAGAAAAATGTAGATTTATTTCTTTAAATTGTCAATTTAATGCTTACACTGCAAAAACACAACATTTTACCAAGAATTATTGGCCTAGTTTCTAGTCCGAGTATCTTAATGCACTTCAAATAAGACAAACTAACTTAAAAAGTAACTTTTCAGCACAATATAGAGGTTTGTTTTAAGTCAATATGATGATAAATTACTAGTTCCGTTGGCAGATTATTAACAAATCAAATGTTATTTTTATGGCACATTTAAGCAACAGTTCAGTTCAAAATGTTTTGTCATAGGAACATAAAAAAATCAACAAATCAACTACCACTTTTTCATCATCCATCCATCCATTTTCTGAACACCCTTGTCCCTCAGTGGGGTCGGGAGGGGTGCTGGTGCCTATCTCCAGCTAACGTTCCGGGCGAGAGGCGGGGTACATCCTGGACAGGTCGCCAGTCTGTCGCAGCACTTTTTCATCAATATTAAGCAATTNTTTANTTAACACAAACCTCTATATCTTGCTGAAAAGTTACTTTTAAGATAGTTTGTCTTATTTTAAGTGAACTAAAATATTTGTTCTAGAAACTAGACCAAAATTACTTGGTACAATTTTGTGTTTTTGCAGTGCATCAGCACCAATATTGCAGTTTTTGCAATAAGTACTGCCATTATTTACTTATTTATGATCTGATAATGCTGATAAAAAGAGGACAAGGAAGTGGGAAAAATGTCAAAAAAGCATAAAAAGAGTCTCCAAGTAAGGCACTGTAACACTTTATGTTAATTTTTATCCACATGTTCCCTGGTGAAACATGATGTCTGCTGTGTTTTTATGAAATGATTGTCTAGTGTGGCTGATTCTTCCTGCTGCAGGATAAGTAGAACATTAAAACTGAATTATTTCAAGAATAAAAATGTAGCTTTTTAAAAAATCTTCACTAAAACAATACATAGAACAATATAACTGCTTCGGGGTAAAATGTCCTTCAGCATTTATTGGAAATCCTAGCAAAGGTGTGGAAAATAAATGAATACTGTACTGCAGTATCTTAACTGAAAAGAAAATTAAGAAAAATGCAAGTTTTAATGCAACAAAAGTTGTTCAGCAAAAAATATCCTACATGAAGAAATAATTTTTTTTTAAAATCGAAGTTACTGTGATAAATGAAACCAGATGAAGACGCAACTTTATCCTGCACTGCAGAAAATATAAATCTTACAAGTTTTTTAATCTAGTTCCTAGTTCAAATATATTACATTAGTAATCTTCCTAAAAAAAACCTTTTCTGTACCATCACAAACATTTACATATGGAGTTTTTGCAGAGCACTACTTGGACTTTGACTAGGTCAAATGAGATCAAGATTGAGCTTTTCAGCAACAAAACACTCCAGGTGGGTGAGGTGTGAAACAAAAACACCTTTAAGTATGGTAGGCGACCTATGATGCTGTGGGCTTGTTTCACCTCCAGAGGCCTTGCTGAACATGTTAAATAAAAATAAATTGGTCACAGATTGGAATCTGAAAACAGGTTGTTCTACACAAACATTACCAAGTATTTTTGTTCTATGTTCTGGTGCAAATACCTTAGTTCACAAGAAATAAGATCAAACAAATTCACAAGCAACTTTTCAGCTAGATAAAAGAGCTTTTTTAAATTTCCATAATATTGATTAAAAAATACTTGTTCCACTGGCAGATTATTTCACTTATAATATGGGGAAAATATCATGTTACAAGTGAAATAATCTGCCAGTGGAACTAGAACTGGGTTGCTTGGTAACGGGCTGAATTTAGCTGGGGTTGCTAGGTAACGGCCCCACTGGAACTAGAACTTTTTCCACCGATATTAAGGAGTTAATTACTTAAATCAATCTTGCCAAAAAGGTTTCCAGTGAGTAAGTTTTGTCTTATTTCAAGTTTAAGATTTTTACACTGGAAACTAGAACAAAAAAGTTTTGTGTTTTTGCAGTGCACCAATTTAAAACAAATGACTCCCCAGACGGAAACACGGCAAAAACACAGATATTACCAACTATTTCTGGTCTAGTTTCTACTGTAAATATCTTAGTACACTCAAAATAAGACCAAACAAACTTACAAGTAACTTTTCAGCAAGAAAATAAGAGCTGGATTTAATTCAAAAATCTCTTATATTGATGAAAAAGTTCTAGTTCCACTGGCGCCGTTACCTAGCAACCCCAGCCAAGCCCAGCCTGTTACCTAGCAACCCAATTCTAGTTCCACTTGCAGATTATTTCACTTGTAACATGGGGAAAATATCTTGCTGTAGGTAAAATAATCTGTAAGTGGAACCAATACATTTTCATGAAGTAAAATTGACTTAAGCTAAAAAAGCTCCAGTTGTGCCTCAGTGTGGAAAATAACTTTCTCAACATGATTGATTGCAGCTGAGTTTGAAATTACTTCACCTTATTTGCACTTATAAGCAACAAAAAGGCGTCGTTCAGTCCTAAAGGCTCGTCTGTCACACTTTGCTGGAGGTGAAACATAAACACTTCAGTGTGGAAAGTTTCGTGTAACTTGGTGCCGTATCTGCATGCAAGTATTTATTGTGCAGGTTACTAATTAAGCCGATTAGAAGACTTTATATTTACACCGATTCATTGAGAGTGGGTCATACTGCGATTACTGATTTACCTTTAGAGAGGAAAAGAATGAAACTAAAACACTAGAGTCTGGAGACGAGTGATAAATAAAATAAAAATCGACCTATCTGCGTTTAACTCCAAGTTCAAAGACTGATATGATTTGGTGTTGCTTTCAAATGCACAGAGGATTTTTCATTCCAGGAAGAAAATTAAATAATTTCCTATGAGTTTTGTTACTTCCTTCTTGTGCTGCAGAGAATATTACAAGAAATATATGAAATAAAATACAAACCTTTGCATCTCAGTTAACTAGAATACCATCCAAGTTAATTTTCAGTTATTAAATTTAAAATGTGAAACTGATATATAATCTTTATTGTAGTTTTAAAGAATTTGATTTAATTTTAGAAAATTACAAACTTGAGAAAAATAAGTTGTCACAAAGGCCACTGTTAGACAAACTGAATGTCAGAGAAACTGAATGTGAACAGGATGATGTTCTTAAGCATTCGGATGGAAAGTTGAGTGGAAGGAAAAAGTGGAACTTTTTCCTTCCACTTTGTTTAACCTTTGTTCAGTTTAACCTGAACAAAGGTTAAACTGAACAAAAAGCACATTTAGGAGTTTTGGGGAGACCCAAAAGGCCTGGACAGCAGCTGGAGTTGGTGATGCAGGAACCTGCACACATGGACTGAAACTGTCACATTACTTGAGTTAGGCCACTCCTGACCCACAGGGAGCATCAAACGCTTCTTACCTGAGACAAACAGGACAACCAACCGTCTTTTGTTTTTGTTTATGCTGTGATCTGTGTTTTCTGTCATTTATTTTGAGGTTTTTCTGTGTTTATTAGCCTGTTCCCCTGTGAGTCCCTGCTTCCCTGTTGACTGCTCCCAGCTGTGTCTCATTTCTTTAATTACCCTCCCACTGTATTTAGTCCCACCTGTTGTCTTTGTCTCTTGTCGGATCCTCGTCGTGTTGTGTCTTGCTCCCTGTTGTTCTGTTGGACTAGCATTGAACCATCATCTTCATCCTGGCCTGCCTGTGTCCTCCCTCACCTCACCAAAACCCCCCAGTCATGACAGTTTACTTATTATTATTATTACTCTTATTTTAACATTATACATACATTTTTTTCTTGTATTATTTTTCTTTTCTTTTAATAAATAACCAACCTCTTATTGTTTTTGTGCAGCACTTTGGTGCAGTTTTAAACCTACATAAATAAATTTAATATTGACAAGGACTATACATTAATAAAATATATTTAGATAAAATATATTTTATTTAAGTCACTTTAGTTTTATGTAATATTGTAACTTTATGGATTTTTTTCCCTCTCATTCATTTTCCATTCACATACACCGAACCTCTTAAGTAATGACGTCTTGCAGTTTACCCTCATTATTGGTTTTATGTAATATTCTTACTTTCTATAATTTTTCTCCTTCCACTCAACTTTCCATTAACATACTCAGATACTACAGTCAACCATTTAAGCAACAACCAACCTCCTTTTTATTGGTTTTATGTAATATTCTAACTTGATGGATCTTTTTCCTTCCACTTAACTTTCCAGATATTTGCTCTTCTTGTTTATTTCTTTTAGGTGATATTCAAGCTTTCAGATAAACTGAATTTTTTGCTTCATTACCTCCAAGTTATAACAAAATTAACAACTTAAATGCATCACTCTGTGAAATTATCGACATGAGTTTTCCTTTTTGAATGAACTTCATTGAGATGTGCTTCTGTTTGCTCTGCTTCAGTGTCTGCTGATGAAATCGAGGCGGACCCGAACACAAATGCGACGCTCCCCTGCAGCTTCTCCCCACCAGGAGACAAAATGGACGTCTCTCTGATCAGAGTCGACTGGACGAGAGAAAACTCGACTGTCGCCTCCTTCGATGGAGCAGAAGAAGAAATAAAGGAGGGATTCAGCTGGGATCCCTCCGATTTTACCAACGGGGATTTTTCCATCTCCATCCTCAGCGCCAGCTTCAGTCTGCAGGGGGTTTATAAATGCACAGTCAGCTACAACTCTACAGACCTGCTCTCTAGAAATGTCACGTTCAGTATTCTAGGTATGTTATAGTTTACTTGTTTCTAATGGATTCATTCTGTAAAACTGAAGCAAAAATTTAAAGTCTACAATGGCATATTACAGATTTTGTGGTTAGAAAAAAGGAGTACATCTCTGCCGAAAGAGCTCAGAAATTTTGAGATGATGTCAGAAATTTTCTAGAAAAATATTGGGATTTTTATACAATCATAAATTTGTAAGAAAATGATTAGAACGTTTGAGATTAATCTAAAAAATTTCTAGAAACAACATGGAAATTTCTGATACAAAAGTCAAAAATTTTATCAGAAACTATTCAACATCTGAAATGTCAAATTTTCCAGAAATAAAATTTATATTTTCAAGCTACTGGTAATAAATGTATGAGAGAAAAAATTTGACATTTGGAGATCAAGAAATTAAAAAGAGAGAAAGAAAAAGAAAAGGGGAAAAAAAAAGAAATTTCTGAGCTCCAAAAGTCAAAGTTTTGCTAGAAATAACTCAGAAATTTTTAGATTAATCTCAGAAAATTTTTAGAAAAATCTTGGAAATTTTCTGGCTCAAAAAATTATGAGAAATAAATCAGAAATTTTTCATGAAAAACCAGGAAATTTCTGAACTCCAAAAGTTGAACATTTGTGGGGAAAAAAACTAAGAATTTTTTAAGATTAACATATTTTAAAAAAAAAAGAAAGAAACTTTTCTGAGCTTCAAAATGTCAACTTTTGGAAAAAATTTCTTAATTTTTTGACAGAAATGTACTCTTTTTTTTTTCTACCTTGGCCCTGATGCTCCATTGTGACAGTCTGCTTCCTTTCTCTGTTGTTTCTGCTCTTCAGCGCCCCCTTCAGTCTCCGTGCCTCAGAAGTGGGTTCTGTTAGAAAAAGAGAGCCAGCTTGAGTGCCATGCCAGAGGCTTCTACCCGCCGCCGGTGTTTTTCTCCTGGACCAGAGAAGAAGAAGTGATCCAGCCGGCCCTGCAGGTGGAAGGCGAGCCGAGTCCGGATGGATTCTACACGGCGGTGAACAACCTGACCTTTTACCCGTCCAAAGAGGACCAGAACGTGACCTTTAGCTGCCAGGTGTCACACAGAGGCAGCACCAAGGAGCTGGACTTCCGGCTCAGTGTCACGCGTGAGTTTGTTTTCAACAGAAAAATGCTCTGTGGCCTGAGACTTAGCATGAAAATCTCATTATGACAGAGTATTAGGATCACAGTACCGTTTTATACATTTTCAAGAAAAACTTGAGAATTTCTGAATTTAAAAAAATCAAATATTTGCTAGAAAAACACTGAAATTTTTAGATTAATTTCAGACATAATTCAGAACTCCAAAAATTAAAAGTTTTAAATAAATAATAACTTTAAAATTTCTGACTTTGAAAAGTTAAGAATCCTCCCAGAAAAAAGAAGATTTTTTTTTTTTTTAAATTTTGAGTTTCAATAGTAAAAAAAAAAATACTTTTGGAAAATTTCTCAGTTCGGAAAGTCAAAATTTTCAAAAGTTGAAATTTGCCATCATTTTAAACTCAGAGATTTTCAGATTTTTCCTAGAAATTTTTTTTAGATTAATCTCAAAATTTCTAGAAATTTTTACTTTTTCAACTGTTTTTAAAAAATGTAGATTAATCTAAAATTATATGTTTTTTTTTCTTGCAACTTTTGAACTTTTAGAGCTCAGAAATTATTTATTTTTTTCTAGAAAATTTCTGAGATAATTCTCAATTTTTTTAGTTTATTGGCATTTTTACCCACAATAGCCTTAACACACTGCTGCATCTGATTTAAATTAATTTGAGTCTGAAGATTTTTCTTGCTTGTCTTCTCAGGTCTCCCTTATGTCAGATTGTCCGTAGTTCAGACTCGCTCCACCAACGCTCCTCTTACTCTTTACTGCGATGTGGAGCATTTCTACCCAGAGGACGTGTCCGTGTCCTGGTTCCAGAACGGCACGGCACTCCCAGAACCCCCGGCCACGGATCAGAACCTGGATCGGACCTACAGCACCAGGCGGTATTTCACGTTGAGCCCGGAGCAGAGGCGGAGGCGCGGCACGGTGGAGTGTGCAGTGAACCAGCCGGGGGCGGTGGATCCAACCAGAACATCAGAAGATCTAGACAAGCTGGACCCTCAAGGTAAGAGCTCAACATGCTGGTCTACACTGCAAAAACACAAAGTCTTACCAAGTCGCTTTAATCTAGCTCTAACTGCAAATATCTTAGTACTCTTGAAATAAGATAAAACTAAGTTACAAGTGACTTTTCAGGAAAATATAGCAGCTTGTTTTGAGTAGATAATTCTCATAAAAAGACATTTTCACACATTATAAGTGAAAAAATCTCCTAGTAGAATTAGTTTTTTATTTTTATTTTATTTTCACAGATTATTTACTTAAACTTCTGCTGAAAAGCTACTTTGAATCCAGTTTTGTCTTATTTCAAGTCAGATATTTGCATGAGAAACTAGGCAAAATATTTGCTAAGATTTTGTGTTTTTGCAGTGTAGGAAGACAGTAAATAATTTATTTTCCATTTTTGTTGATTCTAAGATGTGATAGTTTTTTTTTTATTTTCTGAGAATCTCTGGGCTTGTAAATGCTTTCTCGTATCTGATTAAATAAGATATCTTCTTCTGGTATCTTGAGCTGCTTGAAATGTGGATTTTTTAAAGTGTATTTTAGTTTTTGCTGTTTTTGTTCTTCTTCATTAAGTTTTTCCTTTTTTTTCCCTCTGCCAGATGAAGCTCCTGTGTTGACGAAGTCAGCCAAAGCGTCCGTGGCCATGATGTGTATCTCTATTGTGTTGGTCTTCCTGCTTTGCTTCGGCTTTTCCTGGAGGAGGAGAGACGGTGAGTCAGAGCCTGAGATGCAGAAAGTTTAAAGGGGATCTTTTACTCAAAATTATCATTTTTCAGTTTCTTGCTCTTTCATTTGTGTCTCTGCTGCTTCTAAAAACGACCCAAGTACTTAAAAAAACCATCCAGCTGTTTTATTGGCAATAACTTAATCTTTTTTTGTTTCAAAAACCTCCCGACTGTTAAGTCACATTCAACTGGGCCGTTACCTAGCAACCCCAGCAAAGCCAAGGCCTGTTACCTAGCAACCCAATCTGAACTCCAGAACATTTTGAGAGTTTTGTTGGTGACTTATCATCTAGAAACCACTTGTTGGTGACTCTGGAGGAGCTGCAGAGATCCATAGCTCAGGTGGGAGAATGAGTGGATAGGTAAATAAATCTGACATTTATGGAAGGGCTAAATACAGATACGACCCTAAACAGCCAGAGACATGATAGGATGGTTTAGATTGAAGCATATTCATGTGTTAGAATGGCCTACTCAAAGTCCAGACCTATATTGAGTTGAGAATCTATGGAAAGACTTAAAAATTGGTGTTTACAGTCAGTCTGACTGGGCCTGACTGAAGGAAGAAATATGTCAGTCTTTGGATGTGAAAACTCATGAGGCGATTATATAAAAACATGTCACAGTTTGCATGTATCCTGTCCAATCTGCATCACAATCAAGTTCAACTTTGTGTTGGTTTACCACAGAAAAGTTTTTTTAAGTGTTTTAAAAACTGTTAAAGGTCTGTTTTGAGTGGGACATTATGGACTTAGTGAGTACTGTATCTTTATGTGGCCTTTTCAAGGCTAAAACGTTCTAAAAACTGGGTAAAACAAATAATGCACGAGTTTATCTTCTAAAAGGTAAGACACACAGTCAGGCGCTGCAAAAACACTAAATTTTACCATGTATTAATTTCTAGTTCCAAATGCAAATATCTTGAAATAAGACAGAACTAACTTACCAGTCATTTTCAGCATCATGAAGAAGTCCGTTTTAAGTAATTAATTCCTTAATGTTGATGACAAAGTTTTGGTTAAATTAGCAGATTATTTTACTTAAACCAAGACATTTTATCCAAGTTATAGGTGAAATAATCTGCTGGTGGAACTTAAACTGTTTTCATATTTACATTAATCTCAACCAAAAATAATTAGTAAGATTTTCTGTTTTTGCAGCGTAGGAAGAGAGCTGATCATTTATTTTCTATTTTCATGGATTTTATCAACAATATGTCTCACATTAGCAGAAATAATAGAACAAAAACACAAAAAAGTAAAAAAGAGTATATAATCACATTTTCTGCAAAAACTAAACATATTTTAGGTCAGTCATTTGTTGTCTTTATTTAGTCCATAAAATATTTTAAAATTATAACGGATTTTCTTTATTTTATGAGAAAATATCTTTTTCAAAATATAACAAAAATGCTTCAAAATGAGGGAGAATTTTTTTTCCTGCAAATGACAGATTAAATCCCATTTGCATCGCTGCAGCAGCGTGTTCACACATTCACTCAGGAAATGTCACGAAGCCGCATCCTAACAGGCCAGTTTAAAAATAAAAACATTTATTCTACTGACTCTGCTTTTAGCTCTAAGTGAGTTAATTTCTGAGAAACAGGTTCAGTCATGTTGGCATTTCCTTCACCTTCTGAACAGAAACATATATTTTGTTGATCTAAATACATTTTTAGTTTTTTATCAAGCAGATAATTTTTTTTAAAAGTGTAAAAAGTTTATTTATGTTGTGATTACTTGCTGAAAGCAGAAATTCAAAAAGAGCAACGGTTTCTTAAAGAGACAGAGGCCCAATTTCACAAAGCCAACATTCCTTTTAAGTCATAATTGATATATAGGGCATTTTTATCAATCAGTCAAGTTTATTTTTGACTGATTCAGCACCAAGACTGTTCAAAATGTTTTACATGATAAAAACACAAAAATAATTGAAGCATCACATTTTGTTAACTGCCATTGTTACACATGAGGATGTTGATTAATGTTTCATTTATTATGTTTCAAAAGCAACTTAAAACAGGAGGGGTTTCAGTCTGGATTCAAAGGAACTCAGTGTTTCAGCTGTTTTGCAGTTTTCTGGAAGGTTTTCCAGATTTGTGTTGCATAATAAAATTACTTAATTGTGCTATAATAATCAAGTAATTGTCATGTGGCTGGAAAACCCATAATAAAATTATTTTGGCCCTCATTGCAAAACGTTTGGACGCCACTGGGTTAGAGGTCAAATTTAGGGGAAGGCCAGATGAAGGAACTGTTTATTTTTTTCTAACGCTTTCATTTCCTCTGCCTCACCTGCCACAGAGAAACAGAAGTCGCTCACTGTGTCAGGAATCATCCTGCCGCCGCGCGTCATCGCCGGCCGAAAGGGGCGGGTGAGCGTGAGCATCGAGGGCCGGCGCGTGGACCGGGTCCAGACCAGGTGGTTCCTCAACGACACCGCCATCAATGACACCTCGCTCACAGGTTGGGACACTTCAGACGCAGCAGGTTTCATCAAACTGAGCTAAACTTGGATTGAATGACAGGAAAAAATTAGTTTTTTTCTTAATGTAAATACAGGAAAAGTAAGAAAATGTAAGTGAAATGTTGTGTATTTTAGATTGTTGACAGGAAAATGGATGAGTGCAGGTCAAAAGGTTGATCTGGGATTCTAGAGAGAAGAAATACCAGACCATTTCTGCATCATCCAGCACTGCAAACGGTTTAGTTTCTACTGCAAATATCTTAGTACACTTGAGATAAAACAAAACTAACTTACAAGTAACTTTTCAGCAAATTATAGGAGCTTGCTTCAAGTTAGCAATGCCTTGATATTGACTAAAAACAAGTAGTTATAAGTGAAATAATCTGCCATTGCAACAAGACATTTCACCCATATTGTGAGTTAAAATGTCTTGTTCCACAGGCAGATTATTTCATTTATAGCTCATAATTTTGAAGAATTACCTACTTAAAACAAGCTCATATTTATTGAAGAAAAGTTTCTTGTAAGTTAGTTTAGTCTTATTTCAAGTACTAATAAAATTACATGGAAGAAAGTCCATAAAATTACAAGAATAAAGTCATAAACCTACAAAAAAGTAGTTATAGAATTACACGAAGAAGATCATAAAATTACTAGAATAGTGTTATAAGATTACAAGAAAAAAGTTGTAAAATTACAAGAATAAAGTCATAATAGAATAAACTCGTACAAGAATGAAACCGAAATAATACGAGAATAAAGTTGTGGTATTTCAAGTCATTGAATAGTATAACTTTATTATCATACAACTTCATTCTTCAAAATAAGTAATAATATTATTTTTCTCATTATATTATTACTTTGTTCTTGTGGTTTTATAACTTTATTCTCATCATTTTATTTTATTGTTTTTTATTAGTATCGCCCTAGTACTGCGTCATATATTTGCTCTAGAAACCAGACTAAAAACACTTGGTAAGATTTCGTGTTTTTGCAGTGCAACAGCTTTTAAATAAGTGATGGTGAAATATTTGCACATCTAACTTGTAATGTTTTCTCATCAATGTCTCCATAATCCTCCCGCCTGACAACATAACATGCAAATAGAAACTTCCAGGTCTAACTTTAACTGCCTTTACACTCCGCTAACCACCATCCATCTGCCCTTCGGTCTAACTCTCACCTCCCCAGCTTCAGAGAAAGGTCCTCTGCTGTCCTCCAGAGGCGAGATGGGGTACTACAAGCTGCACACGCAGGGGCCGGTCCTCTCCTCCGGAAAGGGGACCCAGCAGCTGGTTTCCGCTCTCACCTTCGTCCCGCGGATTTCTCTGCACAAGGGCGCTGTGTTTAAATGTCAGGTGTCCTATGTGGGCAAGGACAAGATTGTGGAGGAAAGAGTGTCGGGGAGGTTTACTATTCTCTGTAAGAAAGCCTGTTTTTTCTCTTCAAATACGTTAAATTTTTCTTTATAATCTGATTGTAACAATGCTTTTTTTGTACGCAGCTGCTCCAGAGGTGTCTGAAATACAGCTGGCAGAGACAGAAAATAATCCAGGTAAATAAAATCCTCATGTAAAAATTTCTCCACATCCGTTGACATTAAAAGCACAAACTTCATTGGGACTAGAAGGAATAGTGAGTTTAGACCACAAAACACCTCAGACTGAGTCAGTAAACATCAATTTTCAGCAGTATTATGCTGTGGGAATGCTCTTAGCACAGACAAGGAAGCTGATCAAAACCGATACATGGCACCCAGAGTAACTGTTTACATTTACTTAGTTTTTATTATGATGTACTTTTTACTTTCACTTGAATAGTTTTATTATGAAGTATCGCTACTCTTACTTGAGTAAAACGTAATGTGAGTAACTTCACTGAATAAAGAACAAACATACTGCAACCAAAAATTCACCAGATACAGACCTGCAGTTTTTATTAAAGTGTTGTGATTTTAATATTAAAATAAATTGATTTGAAAAAATATTTATTTTTCCTGATCTTGTTATTTTGTAATTATGACACTCATTTTTTCATTTTGGTCTTTAAAATACCAAAATTTCCATATTTTGATCGGCTTGATTAGGAAATTTTTAAATATTAAGTGATTGATGTTTTGATCAGTTACTCAGCACTTGAGTTTCCTTTTTACTAAATACAATACCAGTCCCACTAAAACACATTCAGGTTTGTGTATTAAATGTACCATCCAGTGTGTTAGTCTCCCGTGTTTTCAAAGCTGCGTCCTTTTCTTTCAGATGTCATCAACATGACAGTGCAGGCGACACATTTCCATCCGGATGTCATCACCTTCCGCTGGTTCTGTCAGGGCGGGGAGCTCAGCCCCGTGGCTTCCAAGGCCTCTTCGTCGCCTCGGCCCAATTCAGAGGGCTTCTTCTCCGCCTTCAGTCAGTGCAAACTTCCCCGCTGTGAGGTGGAGAAGGGCGCCACCAAGGTGTGGGTGAGCGTGCACCACGTCGCCCTGAAGCAACCAATCACCCGCGAGACTAGAGGTGCCCACAACAGAAAACGAGCTGCGTTTCCATTTACCAAAAAATTGCGCAAACTGAAATGACGAGAAAAAAATAACTTAATAGAAACACATCAATTTTGACAAAACTCATGTTTTGCCATAAAACGTTTTTGTGCTGGAACCATATCGAAAGACTTTTTTCACATCACATGAATCACGTGATCAACAACCGGATGTTACTACTGCCGGGAACTACAAAGACGACAGGAAGTGGTACAAGGACGATGGTTTGTTTTTGTTTTTTCAGACAATGTGGAGCCGATTCCACCAGAGCTTTCACAGCGTCACAGTTCATAAGAAGTTGGTTGTTATTTAAATATATTAAATCCATAGCTCTTCTGTGAAATCACCAACTACAAATTCCCCAAAATTGTCCAGAAAAGTTACTTGCAAGTTAGTTATGTCTTATTTCAAAAGTGCTGAGATATTTGCACGGTGCAGTGTTAGGGCCACGCTTAGAAAAAAAAATTACAAGAATAAAGTACTAAAATTACAACTTTACTCTAGTAATATTATGAATTTATTCTTGAAATATTATGACTTTATTTTCATATTTTTTTTTATTAGCACGGCCCTTAAGAAATAACACACCGACGTCTCCTCTGATTGGCTGATGGATGATGGCTGAATTATGAATATTTCTCATGTAACTGTTTACATCCATTTTAATGGCTTATTCACGTGATTTTGATTTAATTTCCTATTTAATGGACACACAGAAATTGCAAAATTACTTTTTTTTTCGGCATCAGCAGAATATTGACAAAGGTTTGCATACATTTGTAATGGAAACGCAGCTAATAAAAAGAAACTTTACATGTAACATATGTCACATTTCTGCAACATTTACTTCCTTTCAGGCTTCATCAAAAGGCCGTGTGTGTCTGATGTTGTCAGCTTCACTCATGCCTCGGATCAGAGCTTCACTCTGGGATGTGAAATCACAGATTTCTACCCTCCAAACATTTCCGTCACGTGGCTGAAGCTCCGAGGTGGAGAGGAGGATGACAGAGAAGAGGAGGTGATAGAGGGAGGAGAGCTGTGGGGCCCCATACAAACTGAACCCAGACTCTTCAGGGCCACAGCAACTCTGAAGAGGAAACCAATCCTGCAGGAGAAAAGGGTCAGAGGAGGCGGCATTACCTGCAGAGTCCAGCATTGTTCCCTAAAGGAGCCGATAGAGAGACACTGGAGAAACGGAGACAATGGTGGGAAATATTAACATTTACAGTTATTACAGCCATATTAACACACATTAACAAATGTGACCCAAATCCGTATTTTAGCTCAAATGCAACCTATATCCAACTTCATCACTGCAGTCTGAATGACTTAATTCTACAACAGAGTTTTAGAACCAAACTAATAAAAATGAAAAACAAAAATTAAATTATGAGTAAAAAGTTTGTAAGGGAATTACAAGTTTTATGAGAATACAGTCTTATGAGCAACAACGTATCAATATCAGAATTATTATGAAAATAAAGTCATATTATGAGAATCAAACCGTAATATTATGACTATTCTCCTAATGCTACAACTTTAATTTTGTAATACTATGACTTTATTCTTGTAATGTTCACTTTTTTTGTCATCATTTTATGTATTTGATCATTTCTTTCAAATTCAAAAGTACGTTATTGAGCCCAAAGGGAATTAAATGTTGTAACTCATATTAATTAAAAATTCTTCAGTTATTGTAAATAGTGATGACTGTTGGCAGGAAAGATCTCCTGTGGAGGTCTGTCTTATGGCAAATCTGAAGAAGCTTCTGACTATAGCTCTCAGTTTTTCTAAGACAGCCTCTCGGACAGGATGGTCAGGTTTGTCCATGGTTTTCTTGATTTCATGTAAAATCATTTCCTTTATCATCTCCAGAGGTTCCACAGTTTTCCTAGAACAGAACCAGTCTTCTTTATTTATTTATGATTTAATTCCCTAATATTCTGTCATACAATTCCAACCTTTTCAGGGAAACCCCCCCCCCCCCCCCCCCCCACAAAACAAAAAAAAAAAAAAAAAAAAAACAAAAGAGCTGCAGGC